TGTATATCTAAAATGTACCAATAAAAGAACTTAAGAATAAAAAAATAAAAATAAGAATTGAAATGCAAATATAATGACTAATTGTGTCATAATGGAAAGGAAATTCCAAATTTCTTGAAAGATTTGTTATACTGAGACTTTAGAGTTAAGAATAAAGCTAAAAATATTATTTATACAGGTCTTATCTATGTCCCAATAGGGAAATACCAGAAATTTGTGCCTTAGCTCACAGCCTCATCTAATTGAGAATTGTCATATTAGAACTCAAAATTATATCACCTACTGACTACCTGAAATACTGTGTACATCTATTCACACTTAAAGAAGAAACAAAGAACTAAAACTACTAAAAGTAAAGGAATATAGAATGAGTAGAAAAAAGGTTAAATGAAATGGTAGAAAATTCAGCCAATGCAAAACTCTTCACCTTTGTGGATGATCCCACCTTTCTAGTGAAGGCTGAGACATAAAAGTTAACTTGTCTGGTATCCTCTTGGTCCAGGAGGAAAGTTGGTCACAATAAGATCTATGTGGTCTCAAATTCAAGCAATTAATAATCAGACAAATAATACATTATATTTAAATTGAAACAAACTTGTTGGTCAAAGATAACACATTTTACACTAAGGGAAATGAGAGTAAAGTAATTGCAGATAAAACACATTTTGCAATGGCAAATGCACAAGGCAAAGAATGATATGGCAGATTTCAGAGATCAAATGTTTAATAGTGTTGGTAGTTTGGGATGATAGAGAATACTGGAAAGCCAATTTAAATTCTAATTTTGTTTTAAGTAACTTACTCGACTTTTACTGGATCTTTGTTATTTAAGAATTCCACTCACTACTATTTCTCACTGTAAAAATACCAAACTACTGAATTCTTTCCAACCTGTCAGATCATTCTTGTTCATCCATCTTTTGCACCATTTTGCCAAAACAATCATTTGCAGCCAGCACATATTACTCAAAGTTCTATTTCCTAACTCTTCTCTAGAGCTATCAGGCAAGCAAGTACATTTTTCTGCCACCAAAGTATTATGAAGGTTTTAACAAATGTTTTGAAACTTTATAACATGAATCACAAAGTTTGTAGCCTATGATATTAGTTTCTTCCCCATCTGTTACCTAAATGCTAAAGTACCGCAACAGAGTTTATAGCCTAAAGGGCACCTTTATCTGATACCAGTTTCTGTATTAATCAGGAAATTCTAAGCTGTATTGTCATAATAGCAATTCCCACAATTATCAATAGCTTAATTCATTAAGCTGTATTGCTCACTCATAAAGCAGTCCCAGTAAGGGTCTGGTACTCACCACCACACTTGACAGCCTTTCTGAAACAGCTCACAAAGATATATGAGTATTCAAATTTTTTTTTCAAAAATATTGTATTTCTTCCCTTTTTGTACTCTGAAAAAAATGGAAAATGAAGACATGGAACATTGTGCTAGGACTTTTTAGAGGATTGTTCAAACACTGTGGATGAAAGTTCTTTTTACAAACCGTTACACAAAACTACTTACACTTAACACTTCATATAGCAAAAAAGTTAAGAAATAATAGTGTTTAGTTGTACATAAGAGAAAAAAAAAGAAATATTATTTGAAGAACAACTATCATTATCTTTTCATGAAAATAGAGAAAAAACATAAAATAAGTATATTATAAAAGGAGCAATTGGTGGATTCTAAAGGAAAGATTTAAGATGGAAAAGAAAAGAAATGAAGGAAATGAATAAATTTTTATTATACTTTTCTAGATAAAAGAGTAATAAAATTAAACAAATAAATATAGTGCTTATGGAGAATGAATTCCAGATTGCATGGTAATCTTACTGAATTTGAAAATTAGGTAAAGAAATCAGAGATATATTTGAAGATTTTTCATTTAGAAAGCTAAATAAATATATTGTGTTTACACTTGATAAGCTTTATCTTAATTTTTTACTAGACAAACTTCGGTTTGTTCTAGTTGAACCAAAATTATTTGTAAATAATTTTTACAATGAACTAGAAATGAGAATATGGCTTCAAAACTATGGATATTAATAGAGCTAAAATCATTAAATTTGTGAATTATATGCATGTAAATATTAGCTAAAATCTGATGAAAATATAAAATCTTTATATTAAGTTTCCATTCATTTTTTTCACAAGTTATACACTTGGCACCATGTTCTAGCTTTGTTAAAAGATACTGGAGATTAAAAAAGAATCCTCAACATAAAGTATCTCAATTCTGTTGATAAGTAAAAATTAAAAATAAAATTGTATTATGATTGTTAAATATAAAAGCATTATTATTTAATTAATATTCTGTAGAGTATACATAAGTTGATTTTTGATATTGGTTCCATTAGAGGGACAGGGTTATATATGGGTTTGACTTTTTTAGTGTTTATCTTCTAAGTTAACACAAATGAAATTTGTAATAAAATAAAGAGATACAATAATGTCCCCAGGATTTGATTGCTGAGTGTTCTGTGTTACTTTAATATTTTGTATTTGCTTTTCTGTTGTTTCTTCCTTTTTATGCAGTAAGTCTAAGAATAAAGCGATTTTTTTCAACACAATTCATGGGCCTAAATATCAAAATATCTGAAATAAGGGCCCTAAGGAATTTATGAGTAGTCCAAAGGATAAAGAGGTTGGGATTTGCAAAAATGGACAAACATTAGATAAGTGATCACTATTTCAAGTGCTCTATGGTACAATTTAGGCCAATAACAGTGGACTGCAGTGTCAAATGAGAGGAGAAGGAACTGCAGAATATTTGTAGGTTACCTAGCGTTCTGACAATGAAAAGAAGGCAAAAGAAGAGGATAAACTAAATCTACAGTTATTTTTTATTTTAATATACACTTGAAACAGGTCAAGATATAGGCAATGCCTTACATATCCATAATTTTGACATCTAATTCTGTGATGAAAACTTATAACAGGATTACATTTTTGTGAATGCCATTATTTGTTGTGAAATATTTCATGATTTCATTAACATAGGTCTAAATTCTTATGATTAAATATTTTTGTGATAATTTCTCAGAGTATGAAATTAATTTATATATTCCTTTATTAATTATAATGCAGTATCTCCAAAATTAAAACATTCATTCTAGAAGATTTTTTGGAGAATTTCACAGTGTTTGAAGTTTACTGAGAAGTAATCCAAATTAATTGAATATAGGAGGTTATAAACATGAACACATGAACATGGATAATTACAGTGAATATTTGAAATTTTAAAAAATTATTACAGGAAAAGACACATTGCTGTGAATCACACTCAAGAATTTCTGGGAGTCCTTTCTCATGAGTGTGTTTAGTTTTACTGAAGTGGCTACCTCAATGTCCTGAAATAATTTCAAACATCTACATTTCACAGTCATTTTGACTTTGGGGAAGAGTCAGAAATTGCATAGTGTCAGATCTGGTGAATAAGGTCTATGAGGACACCCCAAAATATTTTACTTGTCATTCCGTTGGATGGCACTAGGCTGTACAATATACACTGAATTTTTGATGACACAAATTAACATAAAAGAAGGCTTCTAGAACTGCTTCAGCAGATGGCAAGAATGATGGGATGAGTACATGAGTGTATTGAGGGGGACTGATGACAATGTATCTTTTATAAATTAAAAAAATTTTTTTTGAATATTCACCATATATTTTGGTCACACTTCACATCTCATGACAATAATTGAGACTTGAGAGTTCTATGCACCTATTGTAGTGAAATTTTTTACTATTTTACAATAATTGTGTTAAATGATTTATTTAATAATTGTGTTAAATAATACCCTGGATGTCAATTGTACTAATGAAAAGTTAAACATTTAGTAGAATCAAAGGCAAAAGAAATCTACATTTTTGAATACAATCAAACAGTTTGACATTTTTTGGGATGAAATATCAATCCATAATTCATGGCCTTTCCTTCAGTCCTTCTAAAGGAAAGGTATGGGACACATCACAGACACTCTGAAACTTATTCAAGTACAAAAGGACAAAGCACCTTTCTTATCAAGTGAGTGGTGTTCACCACACTGATGAGAGGAGGTGTCTCTCTACACATTCCTTATGCTTTCTCGGCTCATGGGACAGTTCATTTAGCAGACAGTTACCTGTCACAGCATATTAGTAACAGAGAAATATGCAATAAACTTTAAAGAAGGAAAGCCATTTTTAGAAAACTTTAACATTGTTCTATAGAAATTATTTTCCTTTATTATTAACAGGTAGTTAAATACTTAAAATCAATTAGGCATATTCTATGAAGTCATAAGATCATCTAATAGTTGTAACTTCAATTCTGAGTCTTTGCAAACTATTCTAAATTATATAATCATCTCAGGAGAGTCTGTTTGAACACATTATGTATTATTTACATCCACACAGTGACTTCTAATTTCTAGTTTTGCATATAGAGAGTCTCAAATCCACTGCTTTATCCTAACAACAAATACGAATCAAATAAAAGAATGACCTTCTATTATTGGATCCTCTAGAGTCAGGAGGACTTAGGACAAACAACTACCCAAAGAATGAAAAAAGAGGTGAATACAGGAGCCACTGCCTCCTCAAGTAGAGACACAGAACCAAGAACTCTCAGAGGAATAAGTCCCAGTAGGGAATCCAGAAACACAAGTGACAAACTGCTGGAGCCTCAATACCAACAATTTTAAGAGCGAATGCTCTGAAAAGATCCAATTCTAAGGAGTCCACCCACAATGTTATGAGATTTGTATGTAAGACCCAACCATATCCCACAGTAAGTATCAAAGAAAATTCACCTCATGCATCTAAAGGTTGAAAGAGAAGGAAACCTGTTCAAAATACAGCAGGGGACTCTGTTCTTCTTAACAAGGTTGTGCTCTGAGAAACTAGTCTACCAAAGCCTAATATGTTGTGTGTTATCAAAGCCTGATTACCTGGGCAGGCGAAATGCCTAACTCCAGGGGCCCGATCCTTTCTTTCCTCTTTAAGGGGGAGGGGGTTTGGAAATACATAAAATGTCGCTATCCAAAGATAACTAAAATATGACCACTGAACTATGATTTCCTTTCTTCTACATTCTACCACTCTATCAGTCAGAGCCGTAATCCTTTTGCGTGATCTACCATGTGGAGCTAACATGAAAAAAATGACAATAAATACCAAAAGGCAAAACCAAACAAACACTTGAAGAGAAGGAATGACCCTTAGAAACAGAAATGGCAGAGATATTGGAATCATCAGACCAGGAATTTCAAACACCCACGATTAATGTGTAAGGGCTCCACTGAATAAAGTAGGCAGCGAACAGGAAAGCATGGGTGATGTAAACACAGAGAATTCTTAGAAAGAACAAAATAATTAACTCTAGAGATTTTATAAATCTCTAGGAAAGAAATAAACAGAGACTTTGATGGACTTGTGAGTGCATTTGACACAGCTGAAGGTAAGAATCTGTGAACCTGAGAACTTAGAAACTCCCAAAAGTGGTAAGGAAAATGAACAAAGTCTAGGACAGCCATGGGGAAGGATACAGGCTAATACCCAAGCACTGGTACACTGTAATAGACAGAATACATGTATAATTGAAATATCATAAAGAAGAAAGAGACAAAGGAACAGGCCAGATATTTGAGAGAGTACTGACTGAGAATTTTTCAGTATTAATAAATGAATTTCAGATATTAAAACAAAGATCCAGCAAACTCATAGAACATCATGATGGAAAATAAAACAAACATACAAAAACAATGCAAAAAGAACAATAAATTTATACCTAAGGATATTATTTCCAAACTACAGAAAATCAAAAATAAGGAAAAATCTTGCAAAATGCAGAAAGCAGGTGAGAACTTATCTATAGAGGAATAAAGATAAGAATTTGGCTGTTTTTAAAGTAGAGATCTGTAGAGAACAGGGAAAGGGGACGTTACCAGAACCTCTGCAGTAAGTCCTAGTGTCCTGCGAGCCACAGCACTACACGGTGAATTACAGGAAAGGTAGAAAAATGAGACTGAGAAGAAGCCGAGCTTTGGGTCTGCTCAGTGCTGCTCTGGGCAGCAAAAACGAAAGCCCCCAGCTTAACGCACCTTTTATTCAGTACATTGGGAGAAACAAAGTGTAACAAGTGACTTGCAGAGAGTTCAGTACATCCCGCTTAAATAAGATGTAACAATCCAAGAACAAGGAGGAACTGAGTAGATGTTTGTTCCTCCCAGGATGTTTTCAACTCCCAGGATGTTTCCAACTCCCAGGATGTTTCTTGTCCTATCCCGACAGAGATCCAAATAGTGACTAATACATTGAATCCTTTTGATGAAGAAGAGAAACAATAATACAAGTAGACTATAATATTCCCAAGGTCAAAATGAGCATGAAACAGATGCTATCATACAATGTTTATTTTGCTTATT